GTTTTGTAGTACTCGTGGAGCTCTATCATATCTGATTTTGTCGGTTCGAAAATATAGATTCTGAAAGAAATTATGGCAGGGCCCGCGAAGGCCCGGCAAAGGCCCGGATTACAAGTATTACGAGTAACTCAACAACTATTCAAGAATCCTCATGAATCTTGTTTTATTACCATTCTTTTGTTTATCAAGTGCGTACCTGATCGGTTACATGTTCCGAAATAACATATTGTTTTGCCCGGTCGCTGCCCCGAATCTCTTCGTATTTTGCAGTTTCCACAGTTGTCGGATGGCTTATGTCTGAAAGGTTTGGGGTCAATAAAAAAGAAGGATAGTGGGACCATGTGTCCTAACATCTGGATTTTCTTAGGTTTATGACCTGTGCACACTCGCCTGGAATAGCAATAATATCACAATCCAATTGATTGAGCGTGGAAATTTCAGGTTGAAACGGAGCATCTTCAAACGCCTGAAGAGAACGTTTTAGATTGAGAAAATATATGATTTATGCCTCATCCACCCATCGTATTGCTGAAATCAGTCGGTATCGTTCTTCATCAGTAAAAATTGGACAGATTCCATTGTTGTCAAGCTAAAAATGGGAATAGTATGGTGACTGAATATGACTCGCTTGAGAAAATAGATGTTTCGGGGAAGCTAGTCGAATAATTGCAAAAAAAAACAATAAACGTTATTTTCACCTCATCATCTGAATGGATTCCAACTATCAATTTCTTCCCATACTGTTTAGCTGGCCATAATAGTTTTGCATTTGAAAAATGTACAAAATCAAAGCTGAAATTTGCATTTTCTTTTATTCATCACATCACTGTATCCCTTACAATCCATCTGTATAAACCCGAGCTTTCTTTTTTTCACCATCCGGAGTCAAACCTTGTGGACCTGCTTTGAGCATAGCTGATAAGAGTAATCGAAGTGAGTAACTAGAATGAGAATGGAGAGACGTGAAATCAGTTCAACTGATGACGGGACCTTCTCTTCTTCTGCTGTTTCTCTTTTCTTCTCGTTCTTTTTCCCGCTGGTGTAATGCGCTTTCTGAACAAAGAGAAAAGAAAAGAGAGATATTGCTCTCTTGTTATCTCGTTACACAAGGTAGTTGCGGGTGGATCCCCGTCATTAGGAGATGGCGATGAATCGGTGTAATGTTTCGCACATGTCCTGTCAGACAAGCTGTGTTTTGATAGTGATGGATTAGTAAAAAATGTTTGCGGATAATAAGACAGGACTTGACTAACTCGTTAATTGCTGAAGGACTCCTTACTTTTGAAATAGTGTCCTTTTTCAGATAATGTTCTTCATTTGTTGATTACCATCTCCACTATGTGATTCATTTAATTAACTTCTGCAAAATTTATCTTAACAGTCTTGACATAAAAACACACCCGAATTCCCAAAATACACGTTTTAACAAGACATTGTATCAAATTATAGAAACAGTGCAAGTAATCACGATTTTTCTTTTTCTAGTGTTAAAATGATACCTATTGTAGAGACTTCTCACCAACCAAATCTCGTACAGGGCATTACATACCATTGCTTGTGTAAATGCCACTATTTGAGATTTTGTTGGGAAGGGTCCCTAAACTTACTCTCACCACGCGTAACTAAAATTCAAAGCGAAAATTTGGAGGCCAGTATGCTCAAAACGGTTCTTGCATTCAGGCCTCGAAATTCTCGATTTGAAAACAGTTTCAAAATAAAGACAGCGAAGAGAATAGCAGACAGACACAGGAAGTAGCAAGTCGAATGTCTCAATCATAAGAAGCAATTTTACATGTTGGTGCTTGCTACAATAAAGAAGGCGGAGCACCATGAGTCACAACCGGCAAAAGTTGCGTTTTTTAAACATAGACGATGATTGAATCTGTTGGCTGACCAAAAATACAATGGAATAAGTTGTAAAAACGGGCATACGTTGAGTCATCTGGAGCAAGCAAAGATGAATGCAATATGTGAAACAAAGAATGTAGTGGCAATCGTACATTATGAATATTTGGGAAAAGTCTATAATCTGAAAATGAAGCAGTGGCCTCGTTGTGTTAATAGAAATAATGAAGCAGTGGCCTACGGTAGTGTAAACAAGATTTAACCTGTTGTTTAATCCATTTTTAGACTAAACATCTCGAACCGAAAAACTGCAATGGTTCACGGTATTCCTAAATTATTTTATTTCATGGTACATTTAGCTATTTCCTGATTGGAGAAATCAAGTTGAAAAAATGTCAATCATCAATTAACAAATCTTGAACGAAATTCTTTTTATGTTTGCCAATTTTACTTCTGTTCAAAAACCAAACTAGATACCAACTTTTTTCACAGAGAAGACTGGCCAGAAATTGTATTACTACATACAATATGTGAATAAAATGTTGTGAAAAATTTTCAAAAAAAAACTAGCTGATTTTTTAACATTTAAAAAACATATCTGGTGAAAGTTGATGAGGTGCTGAAAATGTTTTGGCTTTACTAAATAAACTAATGGTTTTGAGACCTATATTGAGGGAATCTGAAAAATTGAATTTGAATATGTTCTTAGATTTCGTCACGGATTTTACTTAATTCTGGAATATTCACTGAAAAAAATTTTTGGTCACACTGTCAGACTTTTCGGTGATTTCTCATTTTCATGTTTCATTTAAAACCAGCCAACACGTTCAACTTGTTTATTTTCTCAATTTGGATATCAATTTGGATATATTCACCCTAGCCATTTTGTGTTTATTCAATATCATTAAACTACATTTAGGCTCGCAAGAAAGATAATTTTACTTGTTATCTTCTCTTCCATTTTCCAAACGGTAATTCATCAATCTGTCAAAATAAATTTCCGTTCCACACCATCTTCTTTTTTCTGCGACGAAACTGTGTTTTGAAGGCTATTCTCTTTTTTTATCTCTATTACTGCGTTCTTACTAATCGGGTGATAAACAATATCTAAAAGAGGGGATGTTATAACAACCTTGAAACTGAATTCCGATACCGACACCGCCTTTTTCGGTTGTTGATAGTATTACTAGTATCATTCTCACATTCATCGGACAATCGAGTTAACGATGGAAGTTAGAACCGCTAGTTGCGGTAAGTTTGTTCTTCATTTTCGCTTTAAAATCATTTTTTTACAGATATCAACGACTATGCTTGCAAGCTATTCAAGGTGTACTCAGACACCGTCTTCGCTGATGACTACGAAGGGCTGCTGAAGTTCTACGATGACAGCGCTGTGTTGATCGAGAAAGGAAAGGAGAGCTTCTATGGAGTCGACTCCATTATCAACGCCATCAAGGCCTATCATGCTGGTTTGGGACCAGGAACCACAAAGGTAAGAGACTTCAGACTTTAATGGCTATTCTCCAATGTAATAGAACAAGGTGTCATCTCAGAACTCGGAGTTCAAGGTCGAGCACACCGACAGCGTAATTACGATTCGCTGCAAATATTGCGTGAGTTCAACCGAATCACAATCAATTTCTCTAAATCATCCTCGAATTAAGGTGCAGTCCGTTCTTGCTCATGAGACCTGGGAGGGCGAATACATTCAGTACTGGAGATCCGAGATCGGAAAAATGCCGAAGATCATCCGCGACGAGTTCAGCATTGACAAGAGATACTAATTGTTCTTCTTTTCTTTTTTACTCTTTTTTGTATTTTCTTTTGTAACCTGACAACCCACGCAGTGTAGCTTCTTTGCTTTTCCATTGCAGAAAAGTCTGTAAACTTGAAACCCAAACTTTGAACTTATCTTTGAATGTGTTGTCAAATAAAGTAATTGTCATTCGTGTTCTAAGAGCCACTTGATCTCGCAAAAATATGTTCGCGGCTCAATGACTCAAGTTCGGAGATAAAGATGTTGGCGGAAAGTGGCTACAATTCAAAAAAAACTACACCGAGAAAAAAACGGTACAAGCAAAAAAAGTTGAAAAATTCTAAGACCGTGTAGTTTTCGATGATACATCTGAAGCATTTTTTATTTTACAAAACTAAGGTTCTGTAAGCGCTCTAATAGAACGCCTCTCGAACCGCCAAATTTGAACCTATATACAGTACCGGTCAATAAAACCTACTGGCACGTTTTTTGAAATTGATTACGATTATTTTCAGGAGTCTGGAGCTCGGTTGTCAAGTGTCGGATAACTCTGAAATTTTGGGACGGTGTAAGGACACAGTGTCGCGCACAGGACTCAACTAGTCATCAGTTGACACTATGATCAACTGTTTTCAGTATAAAAAGAGCTCAATTATCTTGCTACCTTGTTCAGTTGTTACTGTCACCTAATTGCCGTCACTCAAAGTCTACGAAACCGCCGCCACCGTCTCCAAAGATCGGTTAAATTTTATTCTTCCCAAATTCCCTCTTTTATTTCCTTTCTTCCTTTTTCAATTCAATAAATCTATATATTAAACTGAACCACACGAGACCATAAGTATCTAGCCTCTATAGGCAATACACCTAGACTGGAAACTTTACAATCAAAAAGTTTTTCTGAATTTTCTATTTTTTTCGCTATTTGCTATTTTCTCAAAGACTCACTTTTTCGCCCGTTGTTGAATAGAAGACGGTAAAACAGGTGTCTTTCAACTCTTGGTAAATAGCTGGAAAACTAAAAATTTTGAAAAAGTTCTGTGAATGCAAAATTTTCAATCTATATCTTTTGTATGACATCCAAAATTTTCAATGTAATCGGACACTTGACTGCTGAGCTCTAGACTCCTGAAAATGGTCGAAATTGCAGAAAATCGACTGCAAAGCACATTTTTGCATATTTTATGGAACGGTACTGTATCTCATTTCTTTTAAAAAGTATCAAAAATTCGTCGACTGGCAAAATATTCATCGTAATATCAAAAATTATTTGTCAGTTCATCACTTTTTCCTATCTTGTCCAGGAAATGAGATAAATTAGTTTAAAGCTGGAAGTTAGACAGTAATTATAAAAAAGTTATTAAGTTTCTTAAACATACCAATATTCTCCCATGTAAAGGTTCACATCGCATGGAGCCCACAAAAAAAAAGAAAAACTCGTTCGTTATTCAGCCAACGCTTGTAGATGAAAGAACACATTTGAAACCAATCAAGTGTGAAGAGAAACGAAACTAGAAACCACGATTCTTATTTGGAATGTTTCTGTTGAATGACGGAACATGTTTTGGATTTTTTTTTTTGAAAAATCTACATCATGACAATGTTGGATTTTTCGATACCGTAATCTTTGAACACTAAAGAGCTGTTGACCTTTCCTTTGTTTCTTGCTGGACAATTATTGGATTCTTAATGGAATCCTTCCAAAAACCAGAGCCAGTCACAAAATTGTTGGTTTGAATTGGGCAACAAGAGGCGTTGAATGAGGCACTCTTTGGCTTCGAGAAACCGAAATGAATAATCCATCCTCGTTTCCCTATTTGTCTCATTCTTCAAGCATTGAAACAGAACCGAAATTCCGCCTTTTTTTCGCTATCTCACATTGCCCTCGAAATTCATTGACTTTGTGTTAGCAGCATTTTGTGTCCGATTTTTTTTTTCGCTTGCCCTAGCTCTCTGTTAGCCCAAATACTTCATTTATCATTTTAACACCGCAGTTTGTGATTGGAAACTGTGTGCACGGGGCGTCAAGTGGCAATAGCCAACAGTTGGAGGGCTACCCGAGAGAGTAGGACATATGGATGCGGATGTCTGGCAGATTTCAATTTCAAAGCTTTCGAGTTTTTGTAGCACAGGGTTCACTAATGTACAGATCATTGACACCAGAGTTTTTAAAGTAGGGTATATTTTATTGTCTCTACATACAGCATCGGTCAATAAGATATGAAAACACGTATTTTTCATTTGATTTTCCGTTATTTTGACTTAGCTCTCAAGTGTCGGATCACTCTGAAAACTTTGGTATGTGTAAAACAGTTCTAGATTGAAAGCATTGCACCGATTTTTTGAAAATTTTTAGTTTTTTCTGTCATTTGCCAATTTCTGAAAGACACCTGTTTTTTCGAGTTTTAAGTACATACCGGACAAATTAGGGATGTCTTTCAGAAATCGGCAAATTGGAGAAAAATTAGGAATTTACATAAAATCCTGTGAATGAAAGTTTTAGAATAGGTCTGTTTTACACCCTCCATATCTTTCAAAGTGATCGCGTACTTGTCAATCCAGCTCCACACTTCTGAAAATGGTCAAAAAGGCCGAAAATCAACTGAAAACTACGTTTTTGTATATTTTATTGCCCGGTACTATAATGCTGTAAATTAGACTGTAAGCCTATTAGACTGTAAAAACAAAAGTTTCATTATGTTCTTTTCTTCTCAGTCCCTTCCATTTCTTATAGAAAAACCGAAACTCCAAACCTTCCCAAAAACCAAGATCGTTAGAAATGATTACACCTTTCATATAAACATATCCTTTCTCCATTCATCTTTCTCTCTTTCTTTTTCTTTTTTTGCACCACCCTTACCTGGATCTCTTCCTTTATCCCATCACAACCTCTTTGTTTTTATGTGGTTTTCATGCTCTAGTTAGCAGGGGAAACATTGCTTGTAGAAATTTACCTACGAAGGTGCAATAGGTATCCTAGTATTACCACCATCTACTCATTTTTTGAATTCGTAGTTTGTCGAAGAAAAGAACAGCGACAAAAAAAAACAGAGGAGGGAGAAACAAAAGAAAGAAGAAAAAAATTGGATCACTGAATTGAATATTTAAAGAGTATGAAGAGAAGATGTATCAATTGATTGTGTGTGCGGCGGTCCGTTCCAGAACATTTTTTTTTGTTGTCTCTTCTTTCATTTCTCTCTTCTCTGTATGTCGGTAACTCATCTGAAATGCATTTCGATCGCTCTTCATACTTTTTTCTATGTTTCTCGTTCCTCCGTCTTTCCGGCATGTTTCTTTTTTGCCAAGAAGACTAGAAGCCCTTACTGAAATGTGTATGTACATTTTGGTAGATGAGTTTAAAAACAACATTTTTTCTCTATTTATGATGAGCTGTCATTTCATACACCATGCAACTTTCCTTAAGACTCTCTCAAAATACTTATTACGTGTTCGGAATGATTTTCACAAAATATGCAATTAGTCTGACATTGAGTTTGTTTTTGGAAAGTTTATACTCATTTTTTGAAATCTGAAAATACTTTGCTTATCCATGCCACTCTAAAAATACGTTCTCTACAATGAAAAACGAAGTTTCCTGCTGGACATTTGGACAACCAAGTCCATCTTCCCTTTCTTTTAATTCCTTCTCATTTTTCAACTCCCACTCGATTTTGTGACATCAGAGGGAGAGTTGAGATTTTTCTCACATAGTTTCACTTTGCTTACAAAAAAAACTTTAAGAAGAAAAAAAACTGGGTTCGAAATTTCTGGTATAGAACCAAAAACCTCACCTCACTCAACGATTCGAAAATACTTTTTGTTTGTTGGAAACTGAACTTACCGCCTCCATCCCAACTCGGTGTGTGTGTTTTTTTTCACTCGAATATTCGCCAACAAAAAAAACGTAATTTTATTTTCTCTTCACCACCACCACCCCAACGCCACCAAGATTTCCCCCTTTGTCTTCCCATATGGCAACTTCCGTTGAAACATTTTTGGTTCAGATTTCTTAGATTGGTCAGCTGTTTAGGAGTTCCTCTGAAACAATTGTATTTTAAATGAAAGTTTTAATCCTGAATTAAATTCTTGTCAGCTTACAAATTGTTCTCTTATTATCTGATTAAAAAGCATCTATTCAGGGATTGTTTCCATTATTTGTTTAATATTTGTATATCTTGTCAAAATAATTTCTTTATCTTATTTCTTCTGATCCACGAATTCACTTTTTGAAATTTTCGAAATTACCGTTTTTCACAGACAACAAACAGACCCGTCCGATACCTGGCACGACAACGAAGAGAAGGTTAGTATTTTGTTCATTGAAGATTTCGGAATTTGCAGCTTGCAATGAAAACCTCTAGATACATGTTTCATATTGAAAGATCTATTTTTTAAACTTTATGATACTTTTATAATTCAAAGATCGTATCCGAATTTTGAAAATCTAGAAAATAAACCTTGGGTGATGGTACAAATGCAATAAACGCTACTGTCTTCTGCAAATGAACAATTTTTTATTCATTTTCGAGAATTCGAAATTCATTTTCTATCTAAAAAATCTTTAACAAAACAGACCAAAATGTGTACTGTAAACACCCCAATAGAATTACTCTTTTTTCAACTTTGAGCCAATTTATTTCGTTTCCTGTAAAAGATAGCAAAAAGTGAATAACTGACAAAATAAGGTTGATATTATGATATAAATTTTTTTTAGTTAACTACTTTTTACTATATTTTACGAAAAAATGAGGTATGCGGGCTAAATGTTGAAAATAAAGAAGTCATTTTATTGGAATATTCACATCAACCTTCATATCAATGTTGCTAATGTGCCTGGTAGATTTCTTTCATTTACTGTAGCAAATTTTTCAAAACTCAATTTTTCATCAGGAGCAAACGTTTAGAGATACTGACATGTCAGTTAGAAAAATGTGAAAAAATCCAACATATGTCTGAAAATCTCATGTCTAAAAATATCTGAAAAATATGTCAAAAACTTGAGCCATCCCTTCTGTGGCTCATCGTCGCAAATATACTAGAATATTCGATTAATATTGCAATCATCGTTGATATCATTCATAACTTCTTTTTCTCATATTTTTTGTTAGGTTTTCTCGGAAAATGTTTTTTTTTCCAGTTTTTGATAGATGCGCTATTAGAATATCTAACACTTCTGGTTTATAACCAAAGTGAACGGAGAACGAAAATTCGAAAAATGGAAAAATGCACTAGTAGAGCTTGTTCATTTAAAAAAGAGAGTGAGAGAGAGAGAGAGAGAGAGTTGAAGAAAAGAAGGGAGAAAGAGAGACTACATCATCGACCCCCTATCATGTTTTCTTGCTTTGTTCTTCAGCTCATTTTTCACTCATCTGTTGTTTACAAGATGATTGCACAATCATTTGTTTCGTGGCATGATAAAATACCACCGATTTTTTCACGTTTTTTTGAATTCTTGTTGTAATGCTTGTAAAGTCCTTCTAATTTTTTGAAGCTGAATTTTTTTAATGTTCGAGTAATCCTACCAAATTTCCAAATTTTATTTGGCAATCCCTTTTACATACTGTCTGTCCTTTTTCATTTTTTTCAGTTCTAATTAATTTACACGAGGAGATAAGAATGAATAATTCACATGAAATATTGCAGCAGAAAATTTGACTTTTACTCATTTCATAACGCGAATATCTTTTCAAGCATATCCTATCCTCTCCCTCAGAATTTTGATGGGTGGTGGGGGTAGTTTTTATGGGCTTGTGCGTATGGGATCCAAATTCAATTTCCAATTTTTTTCTCCTACTCCTTCTAGTTGACATCTAGAAGCTTGTCCTCATCATATTCTCAGTTCCTCTCCTCCAAGTGCACTTATTTTTATATGAGTTTCAAAGTTCACATCGTCGCTGAAGAAGAAGATGCCACCCAATCAAAAAAACATGACACATGCGAGATAAAATTTGTTGGCTTCCTCCTAATTCCACAATTCATTTCAATCTTGTTATCTAATCATTTCAATCTCTTTTCGTGTGATTCAATGTTCCGTTGTCCAATGTGTTGCAGACGTTATCCCTCTAGGGACTTGTCATTTTATTGATAGGTTTTCATTGAGAAAGCGAGGCTGAAGGCCACTGGTACGTGTTCAAAAGTGCATATGGTGAGGAGGAAAAGAGTTTCAAAATGATTGAGTGCCTTTCTCACCCAGAGGGCTAGTGGAAAAGCTTAAAATGAATGAAGGAGGAAAAAAGAAAACGACTTTGACTCACTCATCCCTTGTTTTGTCTTGTTTAATGCATTATTTTTCTGGAAAGGAGGGAAAACATGTGAATTTGAGCTACCGTACTCTCTAGTTGTTTTGCTCGTCTATTATAAATCATTTTCCCAAATTGCCATTACTGTTAAACCTAGTAAAGAGGATTTTTAACCACCAGCTTTAGTAGAATTAATATATTTTTCCTGTAAGAGGACTCAAATTTTTTTTCAACTGGCAAAATCATCCGATAGGTTTTTATGAGTGAGTTCGGTTTTGATATCTCTGGCAATAAACAAAAGAACTGTTTCAAAGTCTGCAGTTCGGAGATCCATCTATCACAGATTAGGTTTCAATTCTGAGAATGATCGGTTTTTTGGATTCAACGGTTGATTGAATTTATTTGAAACTTTAGCTTTTTCACTATTTTTAAGAAATTGTCTAGAAAGTCTTCCCGAAAGATTTTATCGTTTTGAAATTTTTTTTTCATGGTACCGGGAAATTAGATATACGAAAACTTATTTTTGTTGATTTTCCGCCTATTAAGCCTTTTTTTGGAGGCTGGAGCTCGACTTGAATCAACAGATCTTAAAAACTTTGCAGTCACACTAATTTTTTAAAAAATCTTCAGCTTTTTATGAAAGCTGAAAAAGAACTGGTGTTTTTCAGAAATTGGCATAGATCAGGAAAACTAGAAAATTTCAAAAAATTCTGTGAATACAAAGTTTTGATACCAGGTCTGATTTGCACTTTCCAAAACTTTCAAGTTGATCGGTAACTTCTTAGCCAATAGACTCTTGAAAATGGTCACAATAGACAGAAATCAACGGGAAAATACGTTTGGTATATTTTATTGACTGGTGCTGCATCTGTAGAAAATGAATAGCTTATTCTTCATCCAAATTTGAAATCCTTTTTTTTTCATTCTTGAACCAACTGGCCACTCTAAGAACCACACTATTCCAGGAAAAGGCTAATATAAAACCATTGTTGATTCTCTCATCATCTTCTCCTTCAGGATTCCAATACAATTCTTGTTCCATTTCCCACACCAGAAACTCAAGGAGCAACAACGAAGAGCTCGTTAAAGATGGTCCCCGTATGGTAGCATTCGATGTTTTACGAGAGGAGGCAAAGGGTCTTCCTTTCTCTTCTACTTTTTCATTCTCGCTTTAATGAAAGGCAACATGCACTGATGAGAATGCTTCAGAGGCCTTCGTCGTCCTTTTTTGTTGCGGAAGAAGAACCACTTTTTGGTTTTATTTGGAATGGTGCGAATTTTTTTGTTGGAGTCATTTTTGTTGGTTGTTTTTGTCTTATCTGCCAAATTTTGAAAGTAGGAGGGCGGCTGAGCAGTCCAGACGGACATAATGCAACATGCCTTTTGAATATCTTACTACACTGACTGACTAATGTGTCTATGGGGCGTTACAACTTGCTACTGACCAGAGGTTTATGAGAATTTGCAAAAAAAAGTTGCACGAATCATGATTTTCTAAATTCTATTCTTTTCAAGCTTATTTTTCTCATTTCGGAATTCACTTGGTTTCGAATAATTATTGAATGAATCTAAAAAAAACTGCTGGGTCAAATTTAATTTTTTGAATCTTTACAATTTTTTTTCGGTTATACACCCTTTTCCCGTTTGTCGTTTTTTGCCCATTTCGATTCTAACAATTTGGTTGAGATTAGCTGTGCACCGCCCTTCCCCTCTAACCTAATTAGTTTTTCTTCACTGTCCTGTGCAAATCAAATCGCAAGTGTTCCCTAGTCGTCGGACCCTCTTTTTTCTTTTTTGTATGTATATGGAGAGAGAGAGAAATTTTCAGTGTCTCCTAACCTATTCTCTCCATTTTTTTTCTTCGCTCAATCTCATTGCCCGAGACAAGAGATTGGAACATTTCCACACGGCTCTGGGAGTTTTCTGCACTGCTTTTCTGGGTTAGCCTCTGGCCCTAGTGCCTCCGGGCCCAATTCCCAGGACAGTCATAAGAAGGAATTATATAGTTCCGACGAGCCCGTGAGCGTTTCGGCCCCCACTCAGTTTTCCCCGCCCATTTCTCTCCTGTCCCTCGTTTTCAATTTTTATTTCAAAGGTTGGATGTTGAGAGTGATGATGATTAGAATCTTTTTCAATTTCTGGTACTATCCGTTGTGCCATCTTACTGTTTCAAAGGAAAATTAATTTGTAGTCCTGATAAAACGTGGCAGTTTTCCTTTA